TTTTTTTTCTTTTTCTTTCTTTCTTTTTTTTTTTTTTTTAGAAAAGGTCTCACTATGTACTCAGCCTAGCTTGGAACTTGCTGTGTAGACCAGGCTAGCCTGGAACTCACAAAGATCCTCCTGCATGTTCCTCTCAAATTCTGAGTTTCAAGGCACAGGCCCAGCACATGTGAGGCAAAGGCAGGCAGATCTTTCTGAGTATGTAGCTAGTCTGATCTACAGAGCAAGTTCTAGACAGGGCTACACCGAAAAAAAAATTGTCTTAAAAAACAAACAAACAAACAAACAAACAAAAGGCATAGTCCATCACCCTTGACCAAAAGTACATTTTAGTGTCTATTTGCTTGTTTGCTCATTCATCGGATACTACCTGGGACAAAGCTCCAGGAATGAAGAATAATTAATGGTAAACAAGTATTCTGTCACTGATCTATATTCCCCACCCAACCTGACTCCAAGAATTTCACAAGGACTAATCAAAGTAGAATAACAAAGCAGAAAAACTATAAACTTTCTCTTTAACCTTTTCTGACATGGATAAGAAAATCAATATTTGAAATAGCACATCGAAAAATTTATACGTTTATCAGTGAGCCATTGAACTTGACATGGACATGAGAGCTTCAATTTTCAAGCTTTCTAAATTTTAAGGCAGGGCTACTATGCACTGCAGAATTCATCCTTTCCTTTGTAACTTGCTCTCTTATAGCCTTTGTTATTGTTGTTGAGACAGCGTTCCCTCCCTCCCCCCCTCCCCCCACCCAGTGCTGGGATTAAAGTCATAAACCACCACTCTCGGCTCTTCATTTACCCTCCTGATATTTAAACGAGACTGGCTAGACATAACATTTAAATATGTAACCCCTTGACTGGAGACATTGAACCCTACATCTAAGCCACCAAATTATGGACATTTCTTTCTTTCCCTTCCTCCTGACTTTTCAAGTCAGGGACTTAGGTAACTCAGGCCTCTAAATTGCCGCGGATGACCTTGAACTCCCCAATCTTTTTACTCCCCTACCCATGTATTGGGATCAGAGGTTTGTACAATTCCATAGGGTTTGTGAAATTTTTTTTTTTAGGCTCACTTGAAACAAAATTGAAGGTTAGACCAAATGACAATGTACACAAGGACACTCTGAGGTACTCCTGTGATCCACTCATGATTATGTACATCATTTATGCAACAAATTTTATTTAGAGACAGGCAAGTGAGTTTAGACCGAGTTATCAAAACCGACGAGAGCTACCCGCAATGCTGTGTGCAGATGAAAAACTACACTTCCCAGGAGCCTCTACTGGCGAGGCGCAAGGCAAGATGGGAAGTGCTGCTAGGAGAACAACCGTCCTATTGGTGTGCAACCTAAAGGCCGTCTGAACTCGTGAGCGATTGGTAGGGTTTTGTAGACGCTCGCTGATTTGAGTTGTTTTTCGGTTGCGTTGTCGGATGCCGTGGGTTAGCACTTGGTGAGTGTGGATTTCGGGGGAAAGGGGAAAAGAGTTTAAGGACAGACTTTGGGAAGAAAGTCTGGAGGGATAAAAACCTTCGTAATCGGTGCGGAAGGGAGCTACAAGAGAATAAGTCTGCGGTCCTTAGGAGATTGGGGGACCAGTCATGGAAAGTTTGTCTGCAAAAAGAAAGGTCTCCGGGACGCGGAGAGCTGTGACAGTGTGTGAGCTTAGATCTGATCAGGATCTGCGGGAGCTTGAAAGAGAACAGGATCCAGACGTCCCGGAGATAGAGTTCCGGCTTCCCCTCTCTGCTCGTCTAGTTTTCGATTTCCTCGTTTGTAAAATGAGAAATAATAAAACTACTTCAGAAAGTAATTTTGCGGGTAAATACAACATTTCGGGGTTGTGTTCTATACGTAGACTGTGCTCAGCATGCTGATGGCCATGAATTCCATCTCTTAAGCCTTCAGAAAGAAACCCACTAACTTTATATAAACAGAGGCATGGCTGCCGTGGAAGGTAGTGTTAGGATGGCTTCTCTGTCCGGAAGATAAGTTATTGTAGTAGAACAGCAAATACACTCACTTTCTCGTGAAAATACTTGGTTGTTTTCAGTTTTGTGTATTTATTTTTGCTTTTTGAGTCGGGATCTTACTCTGCAGCCCAGATAGGCTTGCACTTCATGGTGTATACCACAGAATACTCTCCAGTTCATGGCAGTACCCCTGTCACAGCCTTCCAAGTGCTGCGAATACAAGCGCACAGTCATTTTGTGGTTTTTGTTGTTGTTTATTTGAGACAGATCTCGCTCTGTAGCCCAGGCTCGGCTGGAACTTTACTCTTCACCCTAGGCTGCCCTCAATTTCAGGTAATCTTCCCAATGCTAGGTTTTTATTGACACAAGCCACCACGGCTGGCTTGAGAGTACGTTTTGAATGGAAAAAGTCAGGGGAGAGATGAAGGAAAGAAGCCTTTAAGATGAGTTTTACATGCAGAATACACTTGATGAAGTGAATTTACTAGACTTGTGCAAGGAGCTGTAATTATGACACCAGGATGCTTGTGAACAAGGGTGCAGACCCAAGAGCGCTACATGGGTCAGGAATGGTGTGTAAACTAAAAATTTTTTTAAAGAATTATTTATTTATTTGACATATATGAGTGCTCTATCTGTAGGTCACTTGCACACCAGCAGAGGGCATCGGATCTATAGATACATGGTTGTGAGTCACCATGTGGTTGCTGGGAATTGAACTCTGAACCTCTGGAAGAGCAGACAATGCTGTTAACCACCGAGCCATCTCTCCAGCCGGGTGTGTAAACTTAATTCTGGTGCTCAAGAGGCAGAGGCAGGTGGATCTCAATAAGGTTTTTGTTGTTGTTGCTGTTTTTGTTTTTCCTCAGAGGATTTCTCTGTATAGCCCTGGCCGTCCTAGAACTCACTTTTATAGACCAAGCTGGCCTCAGACTCAGAGATCCGCCAGCCTCTGTCTCCTGGGTGCTGGGATTAAAGGGGTACGCCACCATGCTCAGTGATAAGTTTCAGAGCAGCCCGGTTTACATAGTTCCAGGCCAGCCAAAACTGCGTAGTGAGATCCTGTCTCAAAAACAAACAAAAAAGAACATTTTGTAGAAAAAAATATGTGTTTGGGAAAGGAGATAGAAATAAGTCAGGATAGAGAGGTTTAGCTCTTAAATAGGAAGTTGTGAGTTCTAGGCTTTATTTAAAGTTGAAGTGGCAATTGATCAATTTACAATTTTTCTTTTTGAGACAAGATATCTATCACTATATAACTCTGGTTGTCATGGAACTGAGGCTGTATAGGAGACTCAGGAAAAGAAATGGCCTATCCTTTCTCTTTAAAAATCTTTAGACAGAAGCTGGAGAGATGGTTCAGTGCTTAAGACTAATGGTAGCTCGTTCGAGGGACCTAGGTTTGATTCCCAGCGCCTACATGGCGGCTCACAATGACCTGGCCTCCTGGGGCACCAGGCATACATCTAGCACACAGACATACATGCAGGCAAAACCCCCGTACACATAGAGTAAATATATTTTAAAAGTTATTAGAGCCAGTTATAATAAAAAATTATAAGATGACCCAGCAGGTTGAAGTACTTTCTGCCAAGCCTGACAACTTGACCCTGGTATCTGAGTAGTAGGGGGAGAAAGCTGACCTTTCAGGTTGTTCTCTAGCCTCCAAGCATGTGTATACACACAAACACACACACACACACACACACACACACACACACACACACTTTTCCCAATCAAAAAACAAGGTAGTCTTTCCTCCCCAGTTAGATATAGTCAGTTGAGATGAAGATTATGATTATACAGAATTTTTCTTTTCTGTTGCAATTTAATTAAGATATATATTTTTATATGTTTTATTTTCCTGGTCCTAGGGTTGGAACCCAGGTGATGTTTGGCAAAGGTAAAGACAGTAGAAAAAGTATATCAAATAAAGTATTTTTGGCTTTATGTTCATTCGAGATTTGGCACCTTAGGTTCTACGTACTACATTGCTTGGTTTAAAAAGTTTTTTAATTTGTTGTTGTGTTTATGTGTGTGTATGTAGAGGCCAGAGGACCACTTTGTGTGGGTTCCAGGAATCCCACTCAGGTTGCTAGGTTTGCTGAGCAATGCCAGCAGCCCCTGTTTTGCCGACGAGAAACTGGCTGGGTACAGTGATGTAAGGCGGTAGTCCAGGTACTGGCAGATTGAGGGAGGGTGGCCAGGTCCAGGCAAACCTGGATTATACAGCAAGATCTGTAACAGAAAGAATGCGAGTGAGCTTTAGTGCACTAGGCCTGGTGCTGGCACATGATGCAGAGCACATCCTGGTGCTTTGAAGTTGGACACAGGAGGACCAAAAGTTCAGTCTAAGCAACACAGTGACTTTGAAACCAGCCTGGATCACATAAGATCCTTTTGGGTTGTGGGTGGGGAGGCCGGGGACTGTGGCGTCCTTGTTTCCTTAGCGTGCACAAAACACTGAAATGGATCCCAAGAACTACACAAACTGTGTTTGGTGGCACACACACTATGGAAGCAGAAGGATCACAAGTTCAAAGTCATTTTCAGACACATAGGAAGTTTAAGCCCATAAGCTACGTGAGACCTTGTCCCCAAAACAAACAAACAACAAAACAAAAGAAACAAACAATAAAAGAAAAAACCCAGCCAGGATGCAGTGGTGCACGACTTTAATCTCGGCACTGGAGGAGGCAGAGGCAGGTGGAGCTCTGTGAGTTCAAGGCCAGCCTGGTCTACAGAGCTAGTTCCAGGACAGCCAGGGCTACACAAAAAAACCCCATCCCAGACCAAACAAACAAACAAAATATACCATATTTAGGGCTGTAGCTCAGTGGTAAATGTTTGCCTTGGTTGAATTAAAAAAAAAAATACAACATCTAAAAATGTATGATTGTTTACTTACAATCCCAGTGCTTGGGAGATAGAGGCAAGAAGATAGCCCAGACACTAAATGGAGGCTGGGGAGTTGTTTCAGTTTTTAGAAGCACTTGCTATTCTTGGAGACGACCCCAGTTTGGCTTCCAGCACCCACATGTTGGCTCATGACCATCTGTAACTCCATTTCCAAGGTATGTGATGCTCTCTTCTGACCTCCTTGGGCACCAAGCACCCAGTGTTGCAAATACACACATACAGAAATGTACAGCTGGGCATTGGTGGTGCATACCTGTAATCCCAGCACTCTGGGAGGCAGGGCAAGTGGATGACGGAGTTCAAGTCTAGCCTGGTCTAAAAAACAAGTCCAGGACACTGAAGGCTACACAGAGAAACCCTGTCTCAAAAAAAAAAAGTGTGTGTGTGTATGTGTATATATATATATACTCATACTCCTAAAAATAAGATAAAACGCCAGGTAGTGGTGGCACATACTTTCAATTCCAGTTCTTAGGAGGCAGAGGCAGGCAAATCTGTGAATTTGAGGCTAGCCTGATACACAGAGCAAGTTCCAGGACAGCCAGAACTGCACAGAGAAACGCTTTGAAAAGCCAAAAAGGAAAAAAAAAAAAGGAAAAGATAAATTTAAAAGAGAAAAAGATTTTTTTTAATATTTATTTATTTATTACTTATGCAATGTGTGTTAGCATGTACACCTGCACGCCAGAAGAGGAAACCAGATTTCATGTTTAGATGGTTGTGAGCCACCATATGGTTGCTGGGAATTGAACTCAGGACCTTTGGGAAGAGCAATCAGTGCTCTTATCCTCTGAGCCATCTCTCCAGCCCCCGAGAAAAAGATTTTTATTTCTTTAATCACAAGTTGGAGAACCCAGTGTTGGTCTAAATGCTGCATTCTCTTCAGGAGTCAAATGTGGTGCTTGAGGAGGGAACGTCTATCTATATATAGCCTTTCTTTATTTGTTTATTTATTTAACTCTTCCTGGCCCTCATAATCATTTTGTGTATTTGATAGGTGTGAATAAGACAGAATGAACTTTACTCCAACAAACACACCTGTCTGCAGAAAGTAAGATATTTGCTTGTTTGAGTTGTTAACTAATCACTACTTCTATAGGTTTTATTCAGTCAGTATAAGTGTCAGTTCTCTGTTCTTACTCAGAATCTAGCTTAGGGGGGATTTTTTTTAAATTTAATTTATTTGTTTGTTTTGGTTTTGGTTTTTCAAGACAAAGTTTCTCTCTGTAGCCCTGGCTGGCCTCAAACTCAAGAGATCCACCTGCTTCTGCCTCCTGAGTGCTGGGATTAAAGGTGTGCGCCACCATGCCTAGCTTGAATCAAACTTTCAATGCATGTGAGTTCTTTAATTATAAGCAATTGAGGGGGCTGGAGAGATGACCCAGCAGTTAAGACCCAGGTTCAGTTTCAGGCACTCATATGGCAGCTTAGAACTGTCTGTAACCCTAAGATCTGACTGTCTCACACAGACATACATGCAGGCAAATACCCAATGCATAGTAAAAAAATTATAAGCATGTGAAGAGCATAAACCCACTGGATGTAGTGGCTCATTCATGAATCCGAGCACTTGGGAGGCAGAGACAGGTAAATCTCTGTGAAAAAGCCAACCTGGTCTACATAGTTAGGGCTACATGGTAAGACCCTGTGTCAAAACAAAACGCCCATAAAACCCCTTTTATTTAGAAAAAAAAAAAAATTGGTTTTAGGAGTGTTCAGAGGATTTAGTATATGCTTTCTAATTTCACATAGAGTAATGGTTGCCTGCAAACGTGATGCTCCCTCTAGCTCCAGTGATCTCAACAGGTGGAAGAAAATGGCAGACTCAGTGGAGTCAACTCCCATGCCTTCAATCGAGGATCGCCTGGCCGTCCTTTGCCCGTCTCAGGAGCTTCTGGATTATTATCAGAAGAAGATGGCTAGCTGTGAGGCAGAGAATGAAGACCTGTTGAAGAAGTTAGAACTCTACAGAGAAGCTTGTGAGAATCAGGTGAGGTGGGGAGGAGGGAGGAAGGAAAGGAGAGAGAGAGAATCCCACAGTGGTAATAAGAGGATCCCGGAGTCCACTGACCAAGCCTCCCAGAATTGCTGAGCTCTGAGTTTAAGGGTAGACCCTGTCTCAAACAAAGTTGGAGAAGCGATGGAGGAAGACATCAACTTTTGGATCAAACATTCACCTGCGTGTATGCGCACACACACCCCCCACACACACACACACCAGGTGAGGTACATGGCACCTCGGTGCTATTGCATGCAAAAGGAAAGCTTAAGGGCTTTGTCATTAATGTCCCAATCACACTCATCCTGTAGCTTGTCCTTTCTTTTTGGCTCCTCTCTCCCTCCTTCCTATCCTCTTTCCTCTCTTTTAGTGCTAGATACTGAACCTAGGGCTTCATGCCTGCTTGCTCTCCCACGGAGCTCCACCCCCAGCTCATTCTTTTGCTTTTTAGCTCAAATATGTGCGCAACCTAGTGCTGCTACTTGAATCTGTATTGATGAGACTATCAATTAGGAATATTCCTTCACCAACCGACTCCTTCATACCCACTAAGAGGTTTCCTTTGAAACCTAATATGTTTTCAACTACTATTCTTTTTTTCTTTTTCTTTTTTTTTTTTTTTTCAGCATAAACTTGAATGGAATTTACAGCAAAGGGAGGTAGAGATTGCTGAATTGCAGAAAGCCCTAAGTGATATGCAGGTCTGCCTCTTCCAGGAACGGGAACATGTTTTACGACTCTACTCAGAAAATGACCGTCTACGAATCAGGTACTGAAGAGGAGAGAAATGTTAGAATTAAACTGTGCTACACTTAAATCACAAGATTTATCCACGGTTGTTCTTTTTGAACAACTTTGAGACAACAAACTTTGAGATAGAAATTCACCTGTAGGACAGTTTCGGGGGGGGTTAAAAAAAAAAACAATAACAAAGCAAAACAGCCCTGCAGATTGTTTTTTGGCGAGAATCACCAATGAGAAAATTAGAATATGCTAGAGTGATTACAGAGACCAGGCCCGCAGCAAGCTCCAAGGTTAGGACAGTCTTTAAGCGAGCATCCTGACGCTTGTGTCTTGATGTGACCAGTTGTTGGGTGCAGGCTGTCCTCATGAAGAAGTCATGAACTTGGGAGAGAAAGCATTTAGCCAGTCATAATTTCTAAAGAAAAAATTTCTTTAGTATTCTGTTTGTGCATGTGTGTGATGTTTGTGTGAGAGGTGCCGACTCACCAGCCCCCAGGGATTCTGGAAGTAGGGACTGGCCAACCGGAGGTGCGTGCCATGTACGGATGGGTATGTTTGAGCAAGGTGCTCCTGGAAGTGGAAGGAGACTTCACCGATTTAACCTTTTTGTTTATTTGGTTTGTTTGGGGGGGATTGTTGGTTTGTTTTAATACTGGGGTTGAATCTGAGGCCTCAAACATATTAGACAAGTACTCTACCACTGAGCTATACCCTAGATCTATTTTTAAAAATCTGGGACAAGGCCTCGCCAGGCTGTCCAAACTGTCCTTGAACTCTCTCTATAGCCCAGGCAGACCTTCACCTTGGTGCCCCAGCCTCAGAATAGCTAGTCTAGCCCATTTGGACTGTATATAGTACTTGGTAGAAGTAGGTACATTCACATTTTTGGACAACTTCCAGAACTTTTTTATATCCCACACTGAAATGCTGACCATTAAACAATACCTTCCATGTTCTTCTCCCAGGTCCTGGCAACCACCACCCTTTTATTTCTTTTTCAAGACAGGGTTTCTGTGGGTAGCCCTGGATGTCCTGGAACTCACTCTGTAGACCAGGCTGGCCTCAAACTCAGAGATCCACCTGCCTCTTCCTCCCGAGTGCCGTGATTAAAGCATGCACCACCATCGCCTAGCTTGAACGCCTTTTTACCTATTTATTGGCTGTTTATATGTCATTGGAGGATGTAAATTCAAGTTCGTTGCTATTTTTTTCTTTGGCGGTTGTTTTGGTAATTTTGCTTGTATGTTGAAGCAGGGTCTCACTCTATACTTCCGGTCAGCCTGGAGCTGACTTTGTTGTGTAGCTATCTTCTAACTTATGTCCCTCATGCCTCAGCCTCCTGAATGCTAAGACTATAGGTTTGAGCCACCATGCGTGCCCCCCCCCCTTTTAAGGATTTATTTATTTATGCGTGTGTGCCTGCATACCAGAAGAGGGCACCAGATATCGCTATAGATGGTTATGAACCGCCATGTGGTTGCTGGGAATTGAACTCAGGACTTTTGAAAAAACAACCGGTGTTCTTAACCTCCTTATCTCCAGCCCCTGGCCGTGTGTGTGTGTGTGTGTGTGTGTGTGTGTGTGTGTATTACCAGGTGGTGGTGGTACACACTTTTAATCCCAGCAATGGGAGTCAGATGCAGGCAGATTTTTTTTTTTTTTTTTTAAATGTACCTCTACCTCCCAAGTACAGGGATTAAAAGCATGCCCCGCTGTGCTCAGTCTGGGTGTTTTTATTTTATATTTTTGACCCAGGGCCTGGAATTCAATTTTGCTAGCTGTGTTGACCAGGCTGGCTTTGAGCTTCTACTTCTGAGTGCAGGGAGCGAAGGCTGTGCCATTGTGCCTGGCTGACAGCACTCAGTTTTAAGTAGACAAATGCTTTCATTGTGTGTTTGGGAATTTCTTAAGTTATAGATACTAGATCCTCATCAGACACATCATTTTCATGTTTCTCCCAGTCCACAGATTGCCATTTTACTCTAGTAATGTTCTTTCTATTAATGCATAGAAATTTACATTTTGTTGTATAATTCCTTTTTATCACCTCTGTCAAATATAAGACATCACTGACAAACCCAGTGTCAAGGAGCTTTCCTCCATGCTTTCTTTACGTTTAGGTAGTTGGTTGGTTTGTGTGTGTCTGTGTGCAAGTGTGCAAGCACACGTGTGGGTTGTGTGTGTATGAGTGTGCAGGTCAGTGGCTGACATCAGGTGTCTTCCTCATTTAAAAATAGTACTTTTCTATCATATTTAAATTTTTTAAAAATACTAAAATAAATAAATAAATAAATAAATAAATAAATAAATAAATAAATAAATAAATAAATAAATAATTTAGCTAGGGATGATAGTACACACCTTTAATCCCAGCACTTAGGAGGCAGTTCAAGACCAGCCTGGACTACAAAGTGAGTTCCCAGACAGCAGGGCCACACAGTGACCCTGCCTCTAAACAAAACAAAAAAAGAATCAGACCCAGCAAAATATTTATTTTATGTATATGAATGTTCTGCCTGCTCGCCTGCATGTGTGTATGTATAGGTGCAGACACACACACACACCAGCGTGCAGGAACCAGCAAAAGTCAGGAAAGGGCGTTGAATAACCTGATCTAGAGTTACAGGTGGGGGTGAACTGCCGAATGGGTGATGAGGACCAAGCCTGGGCTGTCTGAAAGAATAGTCAGTGCTCTCAACCGCTGAGCCGCCCCTCCAGCTTTCGCTCTTACTTTCCAGACAGCGTCTCTTGCTGAGCCTGAAGCACTCGGGCTTAGCTAGACCAGCTGGAGGACAGCTTTTCTGGCATCCTCCTACCTCTCAGCTCTGGAATGTCAGGTGTCTATCGCCAAACTCGCTTTTTACAAGGGTGCTGGGGATCAGGTGCTTGCACAGCACGTACTTTTCCCATTAAGGCATCTTCCTGGCCTTTTTTTTTTTTTTTTTTTGAGACAGTTTAGCCAAGGCTAATCTAGAATTCTTTATCCTCTTTCCTCAGTTTTCCAAGTGGGATTACAAGTGTGTGCCATCATGTCTGCTTGCCACATGTCTTATGATTTAGAGAGAATGTCCTGGCATGCCCTAAAATCTTTCCTGTGTTCCGTCCATGTGAACTAATCAAGTAAATTTATCATGTACTGTTAAAAAGTAAAAGAATCTCCACCATCTAGGGAATGACTTTTGAAGCCTCCTCTCGTCTGTCTTATGTGCACATGAACTACTTTCTTCTTTGTGGAGGTGGAAACTAAGGCATTTGCCTCATTAGTCCATATGCCTGACACCAAATTAATCTGCTCTAGAAAGACACATCTGACATTGAAACCTACTTTGTAGTTCTCCAGAATCCATTTGCTCTTGTAAGGGTCATCCTGATGAATGAAATAAAGATTTTGTATGTACTTCTTCTGGGATCTTTTCTTTTTTATTTGTCATCTTGACCAATTAGGGAAGGCTAGTTTGAGAAGTTTCCCATGGGCTTACTTCAGAAGACAAAAAACAAAACAGTTTGGAGGTTGTGCCAACTACCAAGTGTGTACCTCCTAATTATACATTAGAACCTGAGGAGATGAGTCTGAAAATGTAGTAGACCCACTGTGAACTAGATCCGGGCCAAAATCCAAAATCCAATTACTGGGATGGTCCCCATGTGCCTTGTGCCATGATGGTGCTTCAAGTTACTAGGTGACAGTGTCTCCAGAGACCCTGTATCCAGGAAGGTTTGAAATGCCCGAGTCTTACATTTTTTCCAGTGTGACTACTAGAAGACACTGCTATAGGTCCTTTAGTGAGGCCCTTGTGGAGACACAGGCTCTTGTCTCCTGGGAGATCAGCCGATTCTTCAGCTGGAAAGCTCAATAGGGTGTTTGTTTGTTTGTTTGTTTGTTTGTTTGTTTTAAGAAGCCCCAACTGGCCTAAAACTTGCAATGTATACCAGGCTGACCTCCAACTTACAGAGAGGTGTCTGCCTCCCAAGTACTGGGATTAAAGGCATGTGCCACCATGCCCAGTGTGATTTTTTTTTTAATTTTGTTTATTATTGTAATGTTATGTGTGTGTGTGAGAGAGAGAGACAAGAGACAGAGATAGAGAACACAGCATGCAAGCAGAAACTGTATAGAGGTCAGAAGGCAACTTTGGGAATCAGTTCTTTCCTCCTATGACAGATTTCAGGGAATGAGCTCAGGTGCCAAGTTTGCACAGTGAGCACATTAACTCACTGAGTTGCCTTGCTGGCCAGAGACTGTGAGGTTTTCTTTATGTCTTGTTTTGGAGGAAGGTGGCAGTCCAGCCCTCAGCGTCTTTTTCTTCTTGATTGCTATAATTGTTTAAGCTGTACCCATTAACCCCTCACCTGTTGTGCTGTTAGGAACAGGGTGTTCCACAGGTCTCCTCTGTGTCGTTAGCGCCAAAAACTCCATTTCTAGAGTGCTTCCTTGGATGGTTCCTGATATCAGGTGTGTTAGGTTGGGGAATAGACTGCACCATGGGATTGTCTTACAAGGTGTCTGTCAGGAGCATGTAAGGAGGAGATGAGGGGAGTCTGGCTGGGCAGGCAGAGAATGTCAACTGTGATTTGGCTACAGCGGGCCCCAGCCAATATCATGATGCTCTGAAGCTGAGTGGCTTTTCAGAGCCATCTGATTTGAAGCAGCCTCATGAGAAGGCAGTGAATGCAGGCTGTCCCTGAGGAATGGCAGACATAACCAGGGAAGCAATTTTTCTTTCTCTTTGAGCAGTTCTGAAGGGAGAGTCAGCTGTGAGTCATATGCTGGATAGTCTTTATCAGTGCTGAAAAGGAAAGCCAACTACTATTCTCTTTTAGAAACAGCCAAAAAATTATTCCCAGGTCCCTTCTTTGAATTCTGGATTGAAACACTTATTGGTTTTTGTTTGTTTGTTTGGTTGGTTTTTTTGTTTGTTTGAGACAGGGTTTCTTTGTGTAGCACTGGCTGTCCTGGAACTTGTTTTGTAGACCAGGCTGTCCTTGAACTCAGAGATCCATCTGCCTTCGCCTCCCAAGTGCTGGGATTAAAAGTGTGCAATACTACCACCTGACAAAATACTTAATGTTTTAATAGCTAGAGCTTTTTCATTTTTAACTTGTAGGTATAGTCATTTTAAAACATTAGAAGCTGGGGCTGGAGAGATGGTTCAGAGGTTAAGAGCACTATCTGCTCTTCCAGAGGTCCTGAGTTCAATTCCCAGCAACCACATGGTGGCTCACAACCATCTATACTGAGATCTGATGCCTTCTTCTGGTATGCAGGTGTACATGCAGGCAGAATACTGTTTACATAATAAATAAATAAATCTTAAAAAAAAAATCAGAAGCTGGGGGGTATAGCTGAGTTGCAGAGTGCGTACATAGCTTGTACAAAGCTCTGGCTTCAGTTCCCAGCACTGCATAAGCTGTGTGGTGATATAGACCTGTTATCTCAAAGGCAAACAGCAGGATCAAGGACCAGAGTTATATCCTTGCCAGTATAACAAGCTCAAGTCCAACCTGCCATATGTGAGACTGTCTCAAAAACAAACAAAACCAGGAAATCTTTTGAGTCCTGTTGTTTTCGTTTTGTAGTCTTGACTGGTTTGGAACTCACTATGTAGACCAGGTTGGTGTTGAACTCAGAGAGATCTTCCTGCTTCTGCCTCTTTTATTCTGACACTAAAGGTGTGTGCTACCACAACTGGGTAGCACACAGAAGGGAAATTAAGTAGGAATGGTTACTTGCTTTGGGTATATAATGTCTACTCTTTATGAGAATTGCAGGGAACTGGAAGACAAGAAAAAGATTCAGAATCTGTTAACTCTTGTGGGAACAGACACCAATGAAGTGACCTATTTTTTTAAGGAGCCTCCCCACAAAGTAAGTAACCTGTGCTGTGGTGTGATGAGTGTGACCTTTACATGACACAGGTGAGGGCCCATCATCAGAGCATCTCTGCCTGCCAGAGATGCTGCATGGAGAGCAGTTAGCCAGTATCCACTGAGGGTTAAAGCTTTTTTTTTTTCCTTCCACTACTAAGAAACCTTCAAGGTGCTGGAGAGATGGCTTAGCAGTTCATGACACATACTGCTTTTCCAGAGGACCTAAGTTTCATTGCAAGCATCCACATAGCAGCTCACAAACATCTGGAACTCCAGTTCCAGGGAATCAGACACCCTCTTAGACATGTACACATAGGCGAAACACACATACACATGAAATAAATAAAAAAACTCCAAAAGAAATCTCTGAATGCTCTCTCAAGGTATAACACATTTTTGATGCAAAATAAGTCCTGACTAGTTAGTACTGCCTGTCATTTGGGAGCTGTCACATTACTGGGAGACCTTGGATTTTAAGTTATGCTTTGTGAATGCTACTAAACTTAGTACGTTTTCTTCTTTAGATGAGAATTTTTCCTATTAAAAAATACAGATGCAAAGATCATTAGAAGGAGCTGGGTGTGGCGACACAAGCCTTTAACCCCAGCACTTAGGAAGCAGAGTGCTGTGAGTTCCAGGCCAGTCTCATGGTCTTTGTACCCCTTGGCTGACCTTGAGCTTGACATGTGTGTAGGTCAGGCTGGCTGCCCTCAGACTCACAGAGATTGGGTGTCTGCTTCCTAAATGCTGGGATGAAAGGTGCGCACCACCGCACTCTGCTCAAAGAGCACTGCTCAAAATCCATTTTGTCAAATAGCCCTGTGACTGTGTCTGTTGTTAATTAGTTTGGGTTGACAGTAGATTTTAACCAAAAAATTGGTACTCTGCCCATGCTGCCTCTCCTATACATGTGTTTCCATGATTGTGTCAGTTTGGGCCAGTTAACAAATGTTGGATCTCCAGAACTAAGGCTAAAAGCTGCGGTTTCACACATACTGAAACGACTTCTGTACCTTTGTTTCTCAGGTCTGCATTCCCCAGAAGACTAGCCAGGCTGTAGATGTGTGTGAACCTTCATCTGCCAAAGCAGGTAACCACTGTGCTAGTCTGCACTGGGGTTGAATTGAAAATCCCAGTGCAAGCAATTAGAAAAATTTCCTTGAGGCTGGAGAGATGGCTCAGTGGTTAAGGGCACTGGCTGCTCTTCCAACGGACCCAGGTTCAATTCCCGGCAACCACATGGCAGCTCACAACTGGGTGATTCCAGTTCCAGAGGCTCGTACACCCTCACATAGACACATGCAGGCAAAACAGCAGTGTAACTGGAATAAAATAGTTAAAAAAGAAAATTTTTCTCACTAGGTAGACATAGTAGCATTCATAATGTTGTTTCTGGCAGTCTGATTCCATCCACTTCTAGAACTGTGCAAGACATGAACTGTTGTTTAATGCAGGGGTTTTTGGTGGTGGTGGTTGTGTGTGCGTGCATGTGTGTGTGTGTGTGTGTGTGCATGCGTGCGTGCACACGCGCATGTGTGTTCATATGGAAGCATGTGTGTATGGGTGCACATTGGTGTGAATGCCAGAGGTCTATGTCAGGTGTCTTTACCTCTGAGACAGAGGCAGGGTCGTTGGTAGATAGCCATCACCTTATGTAAAGACTGTGTAGCCTTGTCTGCTGCTAGTTATTTTCACATGTACAGTTGATGTCAACGATAGCTATGCTATAAAACATTAGAATTTCCTCCAACTATCTAGCTGCACCATCAGCCAGCTCCCCCACCTTCCTCCTCCATTCCCCTCCCAGGCTTTAGTGACCTCATTCAGTTTTTGTTGCTTGCTACCCTTTCTTTTGAAAGTTGTGTAGTATGTCATAACCAAAGTGTTTAAATTGGGCTTCTACTAAGACAATATTCGCAACTCCAGAGGAACATTCTGCCAAAAGATGGTGAGGATTATGCAGGTGAAATGTGGCAGATTCCCTAAAAGGTCTCTGTCTGGGAATGAAGCACTGGAGATCTCTAATGTGCTCCTTTCTTCCTGTCCTGCTCTTCCAGGCAAAGGAAACTGACCTCCTGCCGGGTTACTGCTGAGGCTTATGTAGCAGAAGCAGAAAGAAGGGTTGAGCCGAGTTTTCAATGAACTTTTGTTTTCTATTTTAGATCCTAGAGGAAGGAAAAAAAGAGAAACAATAAAAGAAAAGGAAGACATTTCTGACTGTTACCAGAGGGAAGGACAGACACTCATCCTGCAGGTAATACATTTGTCTGACAGACCAAGGTGGCTTCTCCCCACAAACATCTAGCTGTGTGTAACGTGCCTTCCATATTATCTGTGAGCTATCTCTTTGCACGTGGATTGTATTCCGGCATCATGGGGCCAAGAAAATTCAGATTGTTCTTAATATTTAAATCCTTTTTTTCCTAGTAAAGTAGAGATAGTTTTTTGTTTTTTTTGTTTGTGTTTTGTTTTGAGACAGGGTCCTAGCTGTTCTGGAGCTTATTATGTAGATCAGGCTGTCCTTGAACTCAGAGATCCAACTGCCTCTGGGATTAAAGACGTGCACCACCACACCTGGTTTAGAGAAAAGGTTTTTGTTTGTTTGTTTTTTGTTTTTTTGAGACAGGGTTTTTCTGTGTAGCCCTGGCTGTCCTGGAACTCACCCATGAAGATTAATGTAGGAGAGAAAGCCCTCCATAGTGACACACTTCTGTAATCGCAGTGCTTAGGAGCCTGAGGTAGGAGGAGTGCCATGAATTTGAAGCCTGCTAGACTCTATGTAGGGAAGAGCAACTAGGCCAACTAGGGCTACCTAGCAAAGCCTGGTTTCCCTTTATCCCCGCCTGTCTAGGAGGTATGAGGTCAGAGTAAAGGGTACAGGTGTTATGGATACCTGAAGAGGAAAACTCCTGAGATGTCTGAATAAGTCATATGGAGGCTTTATTCACTGCCTCCAAAATTTTGGAGTTGTTAAAGGCAAAACTGCAATTGTGAGCCAGCTGGTAGCACACGCCTTTACTCCTAGCACTCCAGAGCAGAGGCAGGCAGATCTCTGTGAGTTGGAGGCCAGCCTGGCCTACAGAGTTTGTTCCAGGCCAGCCAGGGCTGCACAGAGAAACCTGTCTAGAAAAAACAACAACCAACCAATCAACCAAACAACTGCGATTGTGATGTACAGTAAAAATCCATGGCACACAGTGCTGTTCTCAGAGACGGAGAGGTAGCAGTGGTCAGGCCGTTCTCATAATCTTTAGGTCATGGACATATTGTAAAGAGACCAGTTTACACTAGGAATTTATGGTGAATTCGTGGTTGATCTGAGTGACCAGAGACCAGTTTTCCCAGGACTGTTTTAGCACTTTATTCTTACAAATATTTGTATAAGCTGGTAGAGTTATAGTTCTGTAGCTCATTACACTGCCTCTGGCAGCCTCATACTGTACAGACCTGGAACTGTACAAGGAATGAAATTTTGTTTCCTTCAAGGGTTTTGTTTTTGTGTGTGCACAAGTGAGTGTGTGTACTCGAGTGTGTATGTGGTGTGTGTGTGTGCTTGAGTGCGAGTGTGAGAGAGATCTGTGTGTGTGAGAGAGAGATCATATGGGTGCATTGTATATGGCTGCATATTTGGAAGGAGGCAGGAAGAGAACAGCTGTGGGTTTCTTAAGAGAGAATAGCCTCTTAGCATTGGCACTTTCAAATCATTATTCTTGTTTGAACATTCTAGAATGCTTCTGGCAACCTTTAGTTCATATGCTAAGCCCTATCCAAAAAACCCATCGTAAAGTAGGAATTCCCATTTGTCTTGCAACAAGATCTCACCATGTAGTGATGGCTGGTCAGGGAACTTGCTATGTAGACCAGGCTGATCTGAAACTCACAGAGACAGATCCTTCCGCTTCTGCCTCCACGTGCTGGGATTAAAGGCCTGTGCCACCACCGTCCAGCTAACTGGGCCCTTTGAAAAGGAAGACAGTCCTCTAAGTCCAAGGGAGACAGTAAGAGTAATGGGGTGGAGAGAGGTAGACTGCAGTTTCTACCTTGTGTGATGGAGACGAGGGGCTGAGTATGAACAAAGTTGGTTCTTGTATAGCCTAACACCATTTATAGAGAGAACTAGGATCAAGCCGTATCCCACCTGGTAAAGTGCATGTCAGGAAGCATGTGAACGTGAGCTCAGATCCCTAACACTCACATCAGAAAGCTGGGCTGGGGACCGGAGCAATGGCTCAGCAATTAAGAACACTGACTGCTCTTAAACAGGACCCAGGTTCAATTCCCAGCACCCACATGGCAGCTGACAACTTCCTGTAACTCTGATGTTCTCTTTTGACCTCCAGGGCAGGAACCAGGCACACACAAGGCAAACATATGTGCAGGCAAAACATTCATGCACACACAGAATTATACACACACACACACACACACACACACACACACACACACACACACACGCACATATATTTAAAATAAAATCTGGGTTGGCAACACATATCTGTAATCCCAGCACTGGGGGAATGGAGACAGGTAGGTCCCTGGAACTCGTTGGCTTTTCGGCTTAGGTGAGCTCTAAGTTCAGTGAGAAACCATGTTTTAAGAAACAAGGAGGTGGCCAGCGTGGTTTCATGCTGGTTGAGCTGAGCCTCGAGCCTGGGTAGACCTCCGACCCAAGAAAGACTGTTGGTTGCAGTTTCAGGGAATCACTCTGAAGAGGGGTGTGCCAGGGCCTGGGGCGGGGTTGACAGAACTGAAACACCACACTGGGGAAGGCCACGCTGTCTCTGGCTGGAAATCTGTCTTTGGAGGTGTAAGCACTGTAGATACTTGATTTCCATAAACCTGTAAAAGCAATATTTAGAGGCTGACTTATTTCATTAAAAAATGCAAACAACTCAAAAATAAAATAAAAATAAAAAGGAAGTGGAAAGTGATTGAAGGAGACACTTCACTTTCACTCACATGTAAACACACAAGTGTGAACAGAGCACCGGCATAGACAACATACATACACAAATAGAATCAGAACTGAGATTTTGCTGTCTGTTTTGCTGGTATTTGGGGTTTTGTCTTTTTTTGGTTTGGTTTGTTTGCTTGTTTGTTTCTGTTTTACTTTGTGTCTAGGAAGGGCTAGCCTTCAGAAATACAAAGTAATAGAAGCAGAAGTGGATGCCCCCCTCCTCTTGGCCCATGCAGGTGGAAGCTCTTCAGGCACAGCTGGAAGAGCAGACACGGCTTTCTAGAGAGCAAGTTGAAGGGCTCATGGAGGACAGACAGATTCAAATCGAGGAGATACAAGTTCAGCACCAGAGAAATCAAGAGAAAATCAAGGAGCTAACCAAAAGGTGGGGGACTTAAGAAATACAGTCCTAACAGGCATCCAATTTTTCCGAATGGCTTAAGAAATGGCTCAGCCGTTAAGGAGCATTGTCCTTGAAAAGGGCCTGGGTTCAATTCCCAGCATGCACATCAGGTGGCTCACAACATCTGTAACTCCAGTCCCAGGGGATCTAGCACCTGTGGCCTCCAGAGAACTTCAGAAAGTACATTGTGCAGATAAACTCACACAGGTGCACATTAAAGAGAAAAAAAAAAAAAGTCTTAGCTGGGCCTGGTAGTGCATGCCTGTGATCCCAGCACTCAGGGAGGCAGGCAGATCTCTGTGAGTTCAAGGCCAGCCTGGTCTACAAAGCAAGTTTAGGACAGCTAAGTCCACACAGGAAACCCTGTCTTGAAAACCGAAAAAATAAACAAAACAAACAAACAAAAAAAAGCCTTAACGTTAATAGTTCTTTGGCTGGGTATGTAGCTCAGTGGTGATGGCCTGGCCTAGCATGTGTGGAGCCCAGGTGTTATTTTCCAATATCAGGAAAGAAGAAGATCAATGGTTATGGGGATGGAGAGATGGCTCAGCAGTTAAGAGCACTCACTGCTCTTGAGGAGGACCCCAGTTCAATTCCTGGCACCTACACCCTCAGCTCCTCTCATGCTTTAGTTGAGTTTGCGCTTCAGTCAGACTAATAATGTAAGGAACAATTGTTTTTAGAATTAAAAACATGATTAAACACAGTAACCCTGTTTTCTGTCCTACCCTGCATGTACGGTAACCTCAACCTATGTATTTTGCCTACTTGATGATCCTCATTAAGGTGCATCTATATCTTTTCCCTATTAAACACGCTTAATTTGTTTGTATTTTATTTTTACTTTTTAGACAGGATCCCACTGTGTAGCTCTGGCTGACCTGGAACTCTCTGTTTAATGGAGGTTGGCCTTGCAAACACAGAAATTCTCCTGCCTCTTCCTTCCTAAGTACTTTAATTAAAGGCATCCATCACTATGCTGGCCTGCTGTTTAATAAGTAGGTGTGTATAAGTGTATGTTGGATGGAGGCCAAAGGTCAGCCTTGGGTGCTGTTTCTTGTTTTTTGTTGTTGTTGTTTTTGAGACTTTATCTCTCATTGGCACGAAACACGGTGATTAGGCTCCACTACTGGCCAGCAAGCTGCAGGGATTTGCCCGTCTTCATCTCCCATGCATTGGAGTTACACACGTGCATACCACACCTGGCTTTTTAATGTGGGTTCTGGGGAGAAACTCAGTGCTTACGCAGCAAGCACTTTGCCGTCTAAGCCTTTCATTTATTTCTTTAGTCAGTCAGTTATTAGTTATTATTTTATGTGTGTGCGTGTTTGTCCATATACCACCTTGCATGCCTGGTGCCTGAGGAAGCCAAAGAAGACATCAGATTTCTTGAACCTGGAGTTACAGATGTTTGTGAGCTTCCATGTGGGTGTTGGGAATTGAACCTGGGTACTCTAGAAGAGCAGCAAATGCCTTTAACCATTAAGCCATCTCTCCAACCACAAATATATTTGTTTTGAGACAAGGTCTTTAGCCAGACTAGTCTGGAAAGCCCTATGTAAACAAGGATTACTTTGAACAATTTACACTCTGGCTCCGCCTTCCAAGTACAGGAACACCCTAGGATTGAACCTTATAGAGGACCGTGTATATGCTGGGCAAACACTGTACCAACTGAGTTCATTCCCAACCCTTATTTCATTCCTTTCTTCATTTTTGGTGTTTGTTTTTTTATTTTGAAACAGGGTCTCACTATTTAGTTCAAGAATGGCCTTGAACTCTGCCCCCGCCTCCCAAGTGCTGGGATTAGAGATGCCTATAACAGGCCTGGCTATTTATTTGTTTTGTAGGGAGTATTTAGTATTAAACAAGGGGCTTCACCCATGCAAGGCGAGCACTATACCCCAAAGCTATACGCCCAGCTCATAATATGTGACTTAAAAGTACTTATTTTAGTTTTTAACTATATGTATATCTGAGTGTGTGCGTTTGTGAGTGAGCTGCCCATAGAGTCCACAAGAGGTCAGAGCAGCATGTACATTCAGCCACTGAGCCATCTCTCCAGCCCAAATTGTTTATATTTTATATTAGTTTTCCTGTATGTATATATGCAAATCAGAACCCTCATTGGCACTCAGGAAAGTTTCTGTAAAGACGAATCTGAACCAGGGAATGTGATAGGTACAACACACTCCACCTGATAAAACATGTAAAACTGTCAGCACTCAGACTGTGTCTTTTTAAAATTACTGGTATTGCAGGGTTCATATTGTACAATTTTTAAAGAACCTGTAATTCTCTTTTGGAATATCTCTGAGCTATGCAGTGCAAACATCTTCATGCTCATATTGTTCTTTCTTTGACAGCCTCCATCATACCCAAGAACTGCTCTATGAGAGCACCAAAGACTTTCTACAACTGAAATTTGAAAACCAAAATAAAGAGAAGCTCTGGATGCTTGAGAAAGATCACTTGATGTCAAAGATGAATCAATATAGATTGCAGTGTAAGAAGAAAGAAGATAAATTTGGAAAAGTTATTCCTGTTTTTCATGAGGGCCATCATATTCAAAATGAATATATTAAGGTAATGTCACCATTTTCCTGGAAGAGTGGAAAAACTCAGGATTCTGTGGGGTTGAGTTGAGGCTCAGTTAGTAGAATGCTTGCATAGCATACAAAGGTCCTGGGTTTGATTCCCAGCACTGCATAAAACCAAGTGTGATGGCTCATGCCTGTACTTAGCATTTAGGATTAGAGACAGGAGGATCACAAGTTCAAGGTCATCCTTGGCCACATAGTGAGTTGCAGGCCAGCCCAAGCTACATGAGACACTGTCAGAGACTTGGAGAATTTCAGAGAGCCTATAATTGTTATATAAGATCCATTCATTACATGAAGCTAAGTAGCAATAATGTCATGAAATAGATATGGAAGAGTAACTAACTAGTCATGACAGGAGTTGAGGATTTGAAATAAGCTAGAATTTAAGACCAAACTGGAGTAAGATGCTGTCTCAAGGACTGGAGAGATGGCTCAGAGGTTAAGAACACTGGCTGCTCTTCCAGAGGTCCTGACTTCAATTCCCAGCAACCACATGGTGGTTCACAAACATCTATAATGAGATTGGATGTCGTCTTCTGTGTGTACAGGTGTACAATCAGGCAGAACAATCTTTAAAAAAAAAAAAAAGATATCTCAAGAAGAAAACCAAAATATCACACTTCATTCATTCATTCAATTCCTAATTCAACATACGTACCAGCCTCTGGGTACTGCACTGTTTAAGTCAGACAGATTCTTTTTCTGCTGTGTTTGTATTTTAGTGAACAAGGAGAATCATAGTTAATTTTATATTAATAAGAGAGTTAGGTAACATTGTATTACTTGTTGGAACTTCACTTCAGGAGGGGACCTAGGGATATAGCCTCTTAGGGAAGGGTGTTGCCGGCAGAGGAGAAAGACATATTCTCTGGAATATGTTTGAGGGAAAGAAAGGATGCTATCTATCATGGCTGTAAAATAAAGAAAAAGGAAGCGAGGACTGGCATTGCAGAGATCTAGTGTATGTGGGCCCTAGTTTAATTCTTAATGTCACAAGAGAGAAAAAGAACAAAACAAAGAACAACGGACAGACATGCAAGTCCTGAAGGGCTGGCAGATGGCCCTGCAGGTCACTAAGGAGGCATAGCTCTAAGGGTTATATCTTGGAAAGGTTGTGTGAGGAAGTAATATAATCTGATGGAGGAAAGGTTATCTGTTATCTCTTTTTCTTTTTGCCTCTTAAGGGTTTCAGATAGCCCAGGCTGGCTTCCAACTCACTGTGTAGCTGGTGATGGCCTTGAACTTCTGATCCTTTCGCCTCTGCCTCCTTCATGCTGGGATCATGAGTGCTGGGATCCTGGGTATGTGCCACAGCAGCTTATTATTTTGAAGTGGGGGGGGGTTCCATGTTGTTTGCTAGCAGGGCTTGAACTCCTGGGCTCCAGTAACCCCCATCCACCTCCAGAGTAGCTGATACAGACGTGCGCTTGTGTATGTGGCTCTTGTTTTTTCTTTTCTTTTTTTCATTTTAAAAATTACATTTATTTGTGTGCGGGGCGTGTGTGAACATACCATGAACACAAATTTGAACACAAAGGTAGGGGGATCAGAGTCAGTTTTTTCCTTCCATCGTGTGGGTGCTTTGTGTTAAGTGCCTTAGTTGTTGAGCCATCTTGCTGGCCCTAGTTTAAGGTTTTGCAGGATCCTTTTGTTTATTTGTTTGTTTTTGTTTTTGCTCCTCTTTGGAACATTTGTAATATATGTTGTTGATGTTTTTTTTTCTTCTTAAAAGAGCTAAAACACATAATGTCTTACTTGAAACAAGTTCTGAGCTCCATTTTTGTGGTTCTCAGCCAAAAATACTTTTTATTTTTTTGAGACAGGGTCTCATTGCCCCAGGTTGGCCTTTAATTGTCTGTGTAGCTGAGGATGACCTTGAACTACTGGTCCTGCTGCCTCTACTTCCTGAGTGGAGTGCTAGGGTTACAGGGCATGAGTGCACATCTGGTGTGCTGCCAGTTTGATGTCAACTCACATAAGCCAGAGTTAGGAGAGGAGAGGAGGGGAGCAGAAGGAGCCTCAGTTGAGAAAGTGCCTCCGTAAAACTGGGATGTAGGCAAGCCTGTGAGATATTTTCTTAATTAGTGATTGGTATAGAAGGGACTATTCCATTGTTCTATAAGAAAGCAGACCGAGCAAGCCAGGGAGAACAAGCCAGAAAGCAGCACCCCTCCATGGCCTCTGCATCAGCTCCTGCCTCCAGGTTCCTGCCCTGCTTGAGCTCCTGTCCTGACTTCCCTCAGTGACAGATTGTAATGTGGAGGTGTAAGCCAAATAAATCCTCTCCTCCCCAAGTTGCTTTGGTCATGGTGTTTCCCTAACTAAGGCACCTGGTTCATTTTATCTTAAAAGAATATCTACTTATGTATACTTGAGAGAGGCTAGAGAGGAAAGTATAGATGTGGTAGGGCCTCTAAGTGTCTCCGCAGGGCTGTTTCTGCAGATGAGTTCTGAAAATCTTTTCCTCCCTTCTTTACCACAGTGCTATTTTGAGTTAACTAGTTTTAGGGCCGAACATTAAAGCTTTTCATTCCCTTGACCTACAGTCTCTAAAGGATAAGCTAATACAAGAGAAAAAGCTGTCCAGCATGTACCAGGAGCAGTGCATTGCCCTAGAAGAAGAACTCGCTCGAATTCGAGAGGAAGAGGGAGTGAGGAGAGAGATCTTCAAGGTACATAGTGTTCACACTGTGAGGAGTGGGACATGCAGCCGACTCGGGGAGTCACCCCTCTTCACAAACTCTTCATCGGCCATTTGTAGGATCGCTCCAACAAGATGGGGAAGCGCTTACAGGTAATGACAAAACGCTATGAGGCCTTGGAGAATCGGCGGGTCCTAGAAGTAGAAGGCTTCAAGACAGACATTAAGGCTCTCCGACAGAAGCTGAAGGACCTGGAGCAAATGCTCTATAAGGTACTTTTGCCCCTGAGTTAGGAAAGAGGAAGGGGGTGGGAGTGTGGGAAAGGTGGTCAGGGAACCCGCCTAAGAAAGATGGCCAAGGATGTGAGGAGATCTGCCTCGAGTGTGTGAGGGCAACAAGGACTGGCGTGGTCCCCAGCATGCCAAAACCCGCTGCCTGTGCTTTGTCCTTACGTGGATACCAACAGCTAAGAATCCTTGAATCCTCTCTGAACAGTAGTTCAACAGGAACACCCCGTGGGGAAAACAAAAGCAGACAAACTTACAAACTGCCATTCCTCCCAGTTCAACTAGAGGAAAAGAATTTGGTGTGTTTGGGGAGAGGGGGCCTGAGCAGATGGCTCAGGGAGTAAAGTTGCTGGCTATGCAAGCATTCAGGTCCCAGGCACCTACATGAAAGCCAAGCACAGACCTAACCCAGTGCTGAAAGATGAAGGCAGGAGGACCCAGGAATGTGCTGTCCAGCCAGTAAAGCCAAAGTGCTGGCTTCTAGGTTCACTGAGATGCCATCTCTCTGGCACACTTTACCCCAGCACTCAGGAGGCAAAGGCAGGAGGATCTCTGTGAATTAGAGACCAGGCACAGCAAGTTTCAGGGCAGCCAGGGCTGTGTAATGAGACCCTATCTCAGAAGCAAAACAAAAAAGGTAGAGAGCAATAGGGGACAAACTGATGTCAGTCTCTGAGTGTCAGTGACACTCAGATGTGTATGGATGAGTACACATACACACTCTCTGAAAAGAATTGTTTGGGTTTGTTTTGTTTCTGTCTCTGAAAAGAATTGTTTGGGTTTGTTTTGTTTCTGTCTCTCTCTGTTTTTTTTTTTTTTTTGTGTGTGTGTGTTTGTTTGTTTGAGGCAGGGTTCCTGTGTGTTTTTTTTTAATGATTTTATTCATTTTTATTTTATGTACTTTGGTGTTTTGTTTGCATATATGTCTTCGTGGGGGCGTGGGATCCCCTGGAACTGGAGTTACAGACAGCTGTAAGACCGTGTGGGTGCTGGGAATTGAACCCATGGCCTCTAGAAGAGTAGTCCTAAACCACTGAACCATCTCTCCAGCCCCAAGATTTGTCTGCTTCTAAAGTGGGGAAAATAACTGAGTGATGAGGTCCCTTCCCAAACACCCTTTTAGTACCTAGGTTGCCTCGAGAGCTTTGGTAGAGATTTAACAATCACCATGAGTCCTGAAGACTCATGTGTTCTGAACAAAGGTAACAACAGAAAAAAAAAAAAAAAAAAGGTTTCTATCATTTTTGGCAAATTTACCAATAATGCTACTTACTGGTCTTAGCTTTTTTTTTTTTTAATTAACATTTATTTATTCTGTGTGCGGTTATGTGTACCATGATGTATGTGTGGAGGTCAGAGGACAGCTGTGGTGGTCAGTGTGCTCCTTTCCATTCACTCCTTCCACTGTGCGGCTCCTGGGGCTCCAACTCAGATCCTGGGCTCAGTGGCAGGTGCCTTTACTAGTCACTGAGTGACCTCACCAGTGCTGTATTGGTCTCTTTGCCCATTGTCAGTTTTTTCTTCACCTCTATCCCAGCATGTCTCTATGCTTTTGTTTTGTTTTGTTTTTGAGATGGTTTCCTGTCCTCCAGGCTGTCCTCCAACTGCATAGGTAGCCAAAGATGCCTGGAACTCTTGCTCTTTTTGTCTTCTTCTCCCAAATACTTTGACTAATTAAACATTTTCCTTTTTAAAACGAGCCATTGAAGAATTCTAGCATCACATTAAATCATAGGTAAAACAGGAGTCAGCCAGCAGAGCCTGTTCTTTGTTCTTGATTTCTGTCTTAGCTTATGCCATAATTCTTTTTCTCTCCTTTCTTGACTCTCCAGGTGACAATGAGTGCCCGTGGAAACCAGGACCTTGCCATTCTGTGTGAACTCCGTGATAGCAACAGAAGAACTCACAAGATACAAGGAGAACTGAAGCACCTCAAGACTAAACTGTTTGGTCTGGAGAGTGAGCTTAGGCTGTGTTAATGTCTCTCTTCAGGGGCGATTGGCTTCCTGAAACCTGTGGCAAGGTCACCTGTCCCCAGAAAGTGGACATGGAGTTGTCCAGGGTAGCAGTATCAGTTTTAATAAAGATAGTGTTAAGTGCCTGATGGCTCACACCTATAATCCCAGCACTCGGGAAGCTGACACAGGAGGATTGCCACACAATGATAGAGGAAAGTGAATCTCTGTGATTTATGGCCAGCCTGGTCTACAATAGTGAATTCTAGGCCATCCAAGGCCACTTAATGAGACCCTGCCTCCAAAAAACAAAAATAAAGCAGCAAAAGCAGAAAGGAAAGAGGAAAAGCAAGTGACAAGTCGGGGGCTGAAAATCTGCCCCTGTACTAACTTTGCTGTCTCACTGTCCTGTTAACCATGTTGGAGCATCTGAGTTACTTGGAGACTTTCCTACTTTCCTTTTCTGTACTGATGGACTTTTCTGTCCTTAAAGAGACAGTAATGGCATGGAGCTTGAAGTGCTTGTCCAGCATACGAAAAATCCTGGGTTCTCTTCCTACCACCACCTAAAGCCAGTGTTGGTGGCTCATCTATGAGCAGCACTGTACAGAGGTATAGGTCGGAGAATCCTAAGCTCAAATTCACCCTCAGCTATGTGGTGAATTCCAGGCTAGCCTGAGCTACATGAGACCATGTCTAAAAATGGAAACAAACCAACAAAAAAAGGAGGTGTTTTGCTGAGCTTGGCTGAGTGTCCGTAGAAGAGTGTGTTTCCTGAAGGACCAAAATCATTCACTGAAGCGCGCAGTCCTTGGCAGGGAGGGAAAGAAGCAGCAAATTACATACACCTTGGCAGATTCTCAGTTGTGTAGCTGTGCTCCAGGTGACTGGCCACCCTCACTCCTAAGTAAAAGGGGTAGAGTAGGCAAAACTAAAATGATACTTACGTGAAAAAAGTTAGATTTTTATCAGTGCTTTTTTTTAAAAAAAAAAAAATTCAAATTAAGTATTTTGAATAAAATATGTATTTTAAAATATTTCAGTGTTCTACAATGTCTCGTGCCTTGTATAAGCATTTATCTCAGTTTACTTTCTTTTTAAAAATGTTTTTTACAGTCTGGCGTGGTGGTGCATGCCTTTAATGCCAGCACTGGGGGAGGCAGAGGCAGGCAGATCTCTGTGAGTTCAAGGCCAGCCTGGTCTACAAAGGGAGTCCAGGACAGCCAAGGCTACACAGAGAAACCCTGTCTCAAAAAACAAAACAAAAAAGTTTTTTACAGTAATTTATATATTCGGGTGGAGTTGGTGAGTGTTACAGCGTGTGTGGAGGCCAGAGCACGGCTTGCGGGCGTCGGTTCTCCTCCTTCTCCTGTGTGGGTTAGGGTATCAGTTGGGTTCCTATAATTGCCCACTATTATCATTCAAATTTCAAGATGTATTTAATACCATTCATTCCTTCAGAAATAGTACTTAAGTCAGACATGGTGGCTCACGTCTGTGATCCCAGCACTGAAGGGGCAGAAACAGGATGATCACCACAGGTTAGAGGCCAGTCTAGTCCATGTAACAGGTCACCAGGGCTAAAGGCAGCAAGGTGGCTCCAGGGCCCACACGGATGGAGAGAAGTGACTTCACAAGTTCTTCACTGACCACACGTAGTGCCGCATATGCCCTAACCGCCATACACCCAGATTCATAAAAATAAAGTTTCAATGAAAGAAAGCACCAAAATGGCATCTAATAGCCAGGTGGGCCAGAGGTTCTAGGGGGTGACCTAGAACTGTCAAGAAATGCAGCAGACACCAAGCAGCTGGGAAGGGAGCCTTGACAATGGCAGCAGTGATGGCAGAAGGGAGAGCTGGGAAACCTTCAGAAACAAGGTGCCGTCCTCAGAAGATGTCCGCTGTGACAGTTCAGCAGCCTGAGACCCTGGGAACCACGCTCACAGGAAACCACGCGTAAGTAAACGCTTCATGTTACTGCCTGACAAGCAGCATACTTCGAAACCCTGAATCAGCTCCACAGCGTCCTGGAGGCCAATGACCTGGTGACACCTGAAGGACCAACAAGAACTTTCACCCAGACTCCCAGCAGCATGGGGGAGGGTAGCAGAGCTGCATGGAACAGGCCAGAGCCCGGAGGGGACAGATTACCAAAGGCTGGAACACATCTGTGGGACCTCTTGTGAAGCACTGTCCCCAGACAGGAGAGCATAGGCAGTGTGATGAGCCAAAGGGAGATTCAGAGCCCCTTCCGGAAGCACGGAAGGAGTTATGAGCCCAATTTTTATTTCCTATATCTCCACCCGCCTTCTTTCGTTTGATGCCCAGTGTTATTTTAGCAGGGCTGGCTTGGCCTTTGTTGTTGTTGAGACAGGGCTTCTCTCTGTAGCGCTGGCTGTCCTGGATCACTCTGTAGACCAGGCAGGCCTCGAACTCACAGAGATCCACCTGCGAGATAGCACTCTTTACCTCCTTCTCTTCAGTCCACCTTAAGCAAAATTTCCTCATCCTCCCCCAACTTTGTTGTTGTTGTTCCTGAAGTTCTCCCCCTTCTATGTATATTTCTCTCTTACTTTTCTAAGATCTCAATACTAATTGCTAATCTTACTGTGTTTAATTTGTTTTTTTTTTTCTGTTTCTTTTCTCTTTCCACTCATATCCACTGTTCTGGTTAGATTTTTGTTTGTTTGTTTGTTTGTTTGTTTGTTTGTTTTGTTTAAGGTTATTGAAGAAACTTGTAGTGGTGCATGCCTTTAAGCTCAACACTCCAGAGGAAGAGGAAGGTGACTGTAAGTTTGAGGCTAGCCTGGTCTACATGGTGAGTTCTAGGCCAGCCAAAAATGCATAGTGAGATCCTATTTCTTTATTATGTTTATGTGTGTGTACGTACACATGTGTGCATGAATCTATAGAAGCAAGAAGAGGATGTTGGATCCCTTGGAGCTGAAGGCATTTGCTGGGATCTGAACTCTGGTCCTGGTTGAGCAGCAAGTGTTCTTAACAGCTGAGTCATCTCTGCAGTCTCTGTCTTGGTTAGAGATTTGCTGGGTTAGTCATGTTGACCTGACACAGCCTAGAACAGTGGTTCTTCCCGCTGCTGCATCCCTTTGCTACAGCTCCTCATGTTGTGGTGACCCCAAAGGTAAGAAAATTCTGTTGTTACGTCATCACTGTAATGTTGCTACTGTTACTAATTGTAGTATAAATATCCGATATGCAGGAGATCTGCATGCTACCCCTGTGAGAGGTCACAATCCACAGGCTGAGAACCACTGGCCCAGAGTCTCTTGAGAGGAACAGACACAGCTGAGGAATTGCCTCGGTCATACTGGGCATGGCTGATGGGGTGGGGCTGGGTGGTCTGGATTGTTACCTGGTGTAGGCAGACCCACCCACTGTAGGAGGTACACATCCCGAGCCAAGTCGGTCCTGAACTATGTAAGAAAGCTAGCCTGCCTGTGAGCCTGTAAGCAGCCTTTTCTGTGGTTCCTGCCGCACTCCTTTGCCTGTTAATCGAGTCCCTTGATTGGAAGTGATGCTGTATGGAGACAACTCAAACCCCTAAATAAAATGAGTCAACAGAAGATGTGAACGGCTTCTCCACCAACATAAAAAATCGAATTGAGTCAAATAGATAGTAAAAACCAGGCTTTCAGGGACAGCTCTCAATCACCCAACCTCACAGGAGAGGGTCAGTGAAGTCACATGGCTGGGCTGGGGTAGGGGCTTCTTAAAGGGGAGTTGGTGGTGGGACTTGTGACATGATGGTGAGATAGTAGAGCTATAACCTTATTTGGTGCTTTCAAGGGCCTGAAGACTGGTCTTAGGCCCAGTGGTCACTTTGGAATCTGGAACCAGGAGCTGGCTTTGCCCAATATTTTGCACTGGCTTTTACAACAGCATAGACTTCTGTTCAGAAGAGAAGGGGGGGACCTCTTGGCCCAGGCCATCTTGCCTTTGTCCCAAAACCTCTAGCCTGACAGGATGTACAGATGGGATTAAATAAAGAGCTGGAAATACTGAAGAAAACCCAAAATGAGCTGATGCTGGAAATGGAAATTCAGTAAGTTGGCATCAAGATGGCTCATCAAGTACTTGCTGTGCAAGCCTGACAACCTGAATTCCATCCCTAGAGCCCATTCCTGAAAGCTGTCCTGTGACCTCCATGTGTTCTCTGGCATTCGCCCGCCCCCATCATACACACACAACAATAATAAATAGGACAAATGAGTTCAGTTGGGTCCCGCTGCCAAGCATGATGACCTGAATTTATCTTGGGACCCACAGGGTAAGTCAAGGAGAGAACTGACTCCTGCAAACTATCCTTTGATTTTCACAGGTGTCTTTTTGTTTCAATAAACCATTTTCTTTTTTCATTATTACCTGTGTGTGTCTGTGTGTCTATGTGTGTAAGAGGAGGACGGAAGAGTGTCCTCTGGAGCTGGAGTTACAGGCAGTTGTGAGTTGGGAATCCAACTCAGGTCTTCTTCAAGAACAGTATGTGCTCTTTGAACCAGAGTCATCTCTTCATGCTCCCTGCAATGTGTACTCCTGCCAAAGAAATCAAAACAATCAAATTGTTTTTAAATAAACAAATGAGGCAGACCAGCAGGTCCTGAGAGATCAGGAGATCAGAAAATAAAGAAGATAGGAAAGTTTGGAGTCAGGAGGCCTTGCACAAGCTTACTAAGGAAGCTTAGTAAGTCGTATAGCATCTTATGTATGGTTCACAGGGGCAAAAATAGGACAGAGTCAGCGGAAAGCTATACCATGGGACGGAGTCATGAGGAAGCTAGTCTGAGCCATGTCGCACACCGTGAACACAGACGCCTTGGGCCTGATCACTCCAGTTTCTTCAAGAGAAGAAGCCAGGAACCTAGTTCTTAGTTCTTAGGAATTTTAGTGTTTAAGAATCTAAACCTCAACTTTTCTGAGGCCCTGGCACTCTCTTTGTCCTTTTATCAGGACCTGGTTCCCAACAAGCAAAAATTCAATATGCAAAATAAAAAAAAATCTCATTAGAAAATCTCATCAATAGACGACAGAATAAATAGATCTTTTTTTTTCTTTTTTTTTTAACTTTTATTAATAATAAATAGATCTTGAAGACAAGATTTCCACAAGGTATTGGTCCATTTAGTCAAGGACAATAATTTTTTAAAAAATATGAACATACATGGTCTTTTGACACCATGAAAAGAGGAAATCTATGAATTATGTGCATAGAAGAACTTCATGTCAAAGGCATAGAAAATATTTTCAATACAATTATAGCAAAGAAATTCCAAAATCTAGGGGGAAAGAGGCCTAGTGAAGTAAAAAAAAAAAAAAAAAAAAAGGCATATATAACACCAAATAGACAGGACAAAAAAGAAACTCTCCACATCGTATTACAGTTAAAATACTAAATATAAAGAACAAAGAAAGAAACACCAAGTCATATATAAAGACAGTCTCACCTCAACTTTAAATAAAAACCAGAACAGGTTTGGAAAGACAGTAATTGCCAACCTGGATCAGTATTGTTAGGGAACATTCAGTGAAGCTCCTAAACTGGACCACTCAATGGGTAGAAAGAAAAGTTTATTTGGGGAACAAACTGCCAATCTGTCTCCAAGAAGAGAGGACAGCAGCTCTGCAGAAAAGCAGACTTTATATGATAGCAGGGTGGAGGTATTTGAGCTGATACAGGCTGTTGGACTAATTAATCAGGAACTAGCTCTCTTGCTCAAGATATTTGGGGGGCAGAAAAGGGAAGTAGTGGTTTTCCTTATGAATCCCTTTCCTGGTGAACAGAAACCTTTCTTGCAAGATGCCTGAGGAATGATGAGCTTCTGTTTACCCAGTAACTCTGTTAATTCAGAGTCCTTCTGTTTATGACATGGACACCAGCACTGCCAGTTTTGGGGCCTGCTTTGAACTTAACAAGTATACTTGTTAACAGGAAAACTATCTGTTTT